GTGATAACACGGGCCGATTACGAGATCTATTTAAAGGCGAGTCTGACAAAGATGCCATTTTATTGCACACACAACACTTAAACAGTCGCTCAATTATTTTAATTTCAATTTATTTACATAAAACAACCGTCAATGGTATGCGAAGGAAACATACTGTTACAATTACAGCAATATGTTGCTACCAAATGCGATACCACATTTTCCGTCGACAAATCACATCCGGAGAAGAGTCGAATGAAACCGGGTGAATCAACGCAAACTACGGCTTAAAGCACTGATAAGAATTTAATGTTTTTTAAATTCCCTAATTGCAAGACTAATGCAAATCAGTTTACTCCTATATGGTTCTAAAATAAGTATTTCACGTCCACACAGTTTAATGCTCCGTACTGAAAATAGCTATTGTTAAGCGGCAGAATTCTAGAGCAGGAATTTTAATGACAGAAAAATGATCTACGAAAGAACGACCACTACGCGATTCGACTTTCGCATACTGGAACAATAGCAAGGGCGCGTCGAAGTGACAAATACAGTCGTCACTGCAATCCGTATCGTATATGTTGCGGTCACTTATGCCATGGGGACATGGGTATCAGTGTCAGAATAGTGGACAAGTCACAACAATCGAGGGCTAAATAGCGGTCGCGAATTCCTACTCGTAATTCAAACAACGTGCAACGAAACGTACTCGTACGTGCCCAATGGACAAACGGTCCTTGGCCTCTGTGACCTAATAATTTATTTTTTATTATATTGCATACATAAATGACAACGCTCACGATATCGTCACCTACTGACTTCATTTGACATTTTACACAACGAAAGTCTACATATTAAAATACCTACTCTATACAACTTACGCTGTTTTATAAATTCGGACTCGTGTATTATAAAAAATCCTTATAATAATAAATTGCACTTACCGCTAAAATCGCAATGTCGTAGAAAATCAGCACATGTAACAAAAAATGCAAACATTAACATTTTTAATCAATAACAATAGTTTTTGAGCCGAGGCCCGTTCGATCATATTACTTTCGATCACGTACCAAAACAAGGAAGACAACATGTACCTACGTCTTCTAGGCTATCACTACCCATGTAGTCTGATTCCATTAAATGTTATGTTCCAAATAGGTATACATAGTAAATAATAATGCATAAGTGAGAACACGTACGTGCACGACAATATCCATTAAAAAATACAACAATGAGTCTCTGCCAATATAGAGAAAACATGCCAGCATTGTTTTTAATTTCAATGTTTATCTTGTACACACGAGTGAGAACACTATTATAAACAAAGCGTTTTCTCGACATGACAAATGCATTATCGAAATTAATCTTACATAATAAATCCGATGCGTCTGTCGAATCCATCGCGATTAATTTCAAGGAACCATCACAAAACCACCACAAATACTGTCACTAATTTAACTGTATCCACGTCTATGACTCAATCAAATAAATAATAATAATTGACTAACATTGTAAATATTGACAAAATGTGCGACTAACTAGAGGTCTGGGTATAGTTTGGCGTGCGTTTAACGACGGTGACGGAGAGTGGTTGATACGTATGCACGCGGGAGCAATCCGTAAAGGAACGGCAACATATGCAACTGAACTCTAAGCTATTTCAATACATGCAGGGAATTCGCAACTCAACAGATTCCACAGCGCCAGGGGTGGTCGATCTAAAGCACTTTATTTGAGGTCAACTCCGCTATGGTACTTTAATGATGACACAAACAAGAACTAGGTCACAACTACAGCTTTATCTTCGTATTAAAAACGTCGGTTGTAAGCAAAAAAGCTTTTTGTTTTTGGTAGACTCGATCGATAGGCGAATTTTTTCATTGCGATGAACAGAAACTCAAACAAAACTCTTTACATCAATTTTAAAAACGAAGTGTATGGTACTGGTGCTTAAATGTTGTGGTATTTTTTTAATTTTATTGGTACATTTTCTAATATGCAATTACAGCCAAACCAGTAGTTACGGTCACGGTGTCAATTTACAGCCTTACAGGACGTAAGTACGTCACCGTGGTCGGAGTTCCGCTAGAGAGATCAACGTAAAGTATGAGGTTACAAGCCTAACGTTGACGTAAAATCGGAGTACACAAAATAATTGCAATGTACCTTTTCAGAATTTAATAAGAATCTATTTATAACTAGAAACTCTCCTAGTTATAAATATACAACTTTTTTATTGAAATGTGTAAAAATGTCTATTATTAAATAAGAGATCTTGCTCAGGAGAACTTGAAATTTGCAGAAAAAGTACAATCAAACTTCGTAACTCAGATCAGGTCTTTAAGCCCCAGACAGGTATTTCGACCTCTGGACATCCAGGTAATCTAACTAGGTAAGTCCCTCCCTTCCCTCTATTTTTCCAAATTATTAAAACATGGCTATTTTAAAAAGTTCAAATAGCCATTTAAAAGCTCCACCTTCCAACAAGTAGTGGGACACATGCAATCTTATTATATTGTCTAATAAACAAAAACCTGAAGAAGGCGGTTAACATGTATTTATTACTGGTTATGTGGCACCTTAAGCTAAAGGTAAAAAAATATAACTTCAAAGTTAATTTATTTTTCTTTGGGACCTTTAATGTGCACATCAAAATTATAACCCTCAGAATCATATCTAGGATAAGGAGAGTGACCTCCATACAGTGAAAGCTGTATATTGAAATATGAAATTGTGTTGTTTTGATGCATATCTTATTGTGCAAAGCAGTGGCAAAAAAATATTTCTTACAACTGACTTAGATCAATTAAAAGAAATGTAGCAACAACCTAAGAATCTACAAGCAATACTATTTTTTTAAAACATTTAGATATTATTCAAACATTGAATACAAGCTTGCTAAAAATTCATAAGATCAAATAATGGATGTTAAAATTTCATGCTAAATGTTTGTCCTTGTTTATAATGCTGTACAAATAAAAAATCTACAATAGAAAGAAACTAAAAAGTGATCAATCGTGATGCTACATCAACATGCATGGAAGATCATAATTTTTATTAATTACAGAAGTCGACGCTGAAGGTTTAACATTGATCTTCATCAATAGATAGAGTTTTTATAGTTACTATAGCTACTGAGCAATGAAATACTATAAAATACCTTATTATAACGCTTACTGATAACAGAATAATATCTGTTAATTTTTGCTCCTTTAAGAATTAACATTTCTGTTTGGCGCGAATTATTTTGCTTATAATGCAAGTCTTTTAACCAATCAATCTTACCTGATCTCTGCATATTGATACAGTAAACAAATAACAGCACATTAATATCAATTCAAAAACATATTAATACACAGCAGAAATTTTAAATCAGCACTTCACTATAGTACAACTGTCAACAGCAACACCCGCCCTTTGCGGCAGCACCGGGTAGAAATTGATTTTTTTATATTCTTGCCAGATAAGAGGAAATTTCTGGTTTTTAATTAGATTAATAGTTGAATTGGAAAAACTAAAAATAAGTAAATGTAATTTTAATTATATAATGTAATTTATATCTATAATTGATCTATTTTATATCGGAAGTATACATTGTTGTTAGATTATTATCACTAGCAATGCTTATAAAACAATCTTTATGCTGCAGTCTTTGGTACTACTAAGATAAAGTACTGACTAGATAGGGTCCACTTATGAACGGAACAAAAAATTATTTCTTGTCTTTTCTTTATACAGAACAAGGGACAAATGGGCAGGAGGCTCATCAGATGTTATTTGATATCGCCCATGGACACTCAATACCAGAGGACTCGAGAATGCGTTTCCGGCCTTTAAAAATTGGTACGCTTTTCTCTTGAAGGACCCTAAGTCAAATTGGTTCAGAAATTTCAGTGGCAGCTGTTTTCACTTAGTGGTGGTGAGCGGCAAAAACTGCAGGAGAAACATGGTCGGGGATAGGACACAGCCTTTTGGTACCCCAGGCTTCACGGGTTTAATCTCGGAACATGCTCCTTCAATGACGACCTTGATGCTCCGATTGGCCAGAAAGCTGAAGATCCAGTCGCATAATTTCTCGTGAAGCCCATAGACTGGAATCTGCACGAGAAGCGCTTTATGTTACACCCGATCTTTTTTTATGTATGAATATTTTGTGTATACATCTATCTTTCAGTAACAGTTTAGTCAATTGAGGTGTTAGTTGTAACGATTATAAAATTTTTGTTTAAACTGTGAAATTTTGCTTAAGTATTTCATACCTAAATATATAAAATATAATACACCTAAACTGGTATGGTGGCTATGAAAATTATATATAAAAAAATATTTTTTCATATTAAGTACAATAAAGATTAAAGCAGTTCATCTATAACAACGTAATAGTGTTGCTAACATAATAAAAAAGGTAATTTATCACCTCAAATCTCACGAAGATTCTCGCACTGACTCTAATATTGCTTTTCATTGACATCTGCATTTCTATTAATAGTTGACAGTTAATAAGGGTTGGTTTAGTCTTCCGCTTCTGTGTACAATATGTAAAGGAAGGAAGTATGCACTGTGCAATAATCAATAAAATACAAATTACAATTTTATTTTGCAGCTTTCCCGCGTAGTTATAAACATGGATAAGTAGGTACCTATTTGCTATTTAGTAAAATGTCACCAAATCAATACTTGTTTTGTTTGAGTTTATCCATAATCTTATAAATAAATTCTAAATAAATAGAAATTCTTATTCTACAGGAATATTCATTTTTGTTTATTTTGCGATTGCTGATCGATTATCTTAATATAAATTCTGCTTAATTATGCTCAAAAGTTAATTAATATCACTATAATATTTTCAGCTTATATGGTCGTGTGATAAATCAATCCCCCGACGATATTCACTTGGTTTATTACTAAATCATCCAGTGACCTAGAGTAGATTCTACATTTGTTTATTTATAGAAATAAAATAATTATAAAATATAATAAATTAGTAATTCATATTGTAGAGTAGTTACTGCAGCAACATTATGAAAAATCTGATCTGTTTGCAATATATGATTCCTATTTTTAAACCAAATTCTATTAGCAAGAAAGTTTTTGTTACTATGTTCCAAACAAACTTACTTCATTACAAAAATTATTTGATGAGACCGGTAAGTATGTTTTGTGAAACATTTTATGACAATATTTCAGGAATTTTTTTCTATTGTACCTATATAATATAAAATAACAGATCCTCAAGCAGTGGCGTAATTATACCATCTGGGGCCTGTGGCAAATCTTCTTTTGATGGTGCCCTATTAGTAAAAATCGTCACGTTGTACTCAGTTTAATGTATAATATATAATAAACTTCAAGATTTTCAGCGTACTCAATTACACATTGTATATGTCCCACTAATGAATGAATGAGAGGGAGTAGTCACCATGCTAGACCGATGAGTATTGGAGACTTCACATTCATCCATAGAACATAATATCTCTCGGGCAGGGGCCTCTTGGGTTGGGGGACCGTAGTATTTTGCCACCCCTGCCACCCTATTGTTATGCCACTGTCCTCAAGCTAGCTTTTACATTCCCTGATCTTAGTTACTACATTCATAGTACTATTTAGTAAATTTAACTTGTTGTGTTACCCTTTCTCCTATTATTTATTATAATGTTTTTAACTTCCAGATCAAATTTTCCACTGCTAAGTCTGTCATAAAGATTAAACTTCCTATAACATTAACAATAGCATGGCCTGCAAAACTAAAATTTACATCTTTAGAACAGAAAGAGATCTTTAAACCTTCTGTGGAAGTAACCAATGTTGCTGATTCATTGTTTGAAAATGGAAAATATGAGGAATGCTTCAAACTTTTATCAAGCACAGAGGTAGGTAGTGTATTGTCCAAGTAAATAATAAGTCCTCTTTAGTATAAAATTTTGTAGTAACCTTTTAATAATAATGCAAAATATTGTAGCTCCTATGGACTATTGGAGCTTATGTTAAGTATCATTTTTAATATCACTCTAAATATGTACACTATAAATTTATTCTAAAACTACACTCATAGTAAGAAGTTAATCTTATGGCAACTTTAGACCTGATGATAAGTACAACATATTAGTCCGAAAAATAATGAATTATCTTAGATAATAAAATAAAGTTTAACAATTTATAATGTTAAACTATTTATTTTAAAATATATGAAATTCTTTTATAAAATATTTCATAAGTACTAATTACAGGATCAAAATAACATAGAAATTAAATGGCGTGTATGTCGCGTTTTGTACAATATAGCAAAACAGCCTAAACATGACCAAGCACATAGAGATGAGCTGATTTCAAAAGCCTACAGCATTATTGCTGAAGAATTAGAAAACCATTGGGATCATTTTGCTGTCCAAAAATGGTATGCCTTAATATTGGACTTAAAGAGCACTAATGATGGTGTAAGAAAAAAGATACAAGAACTGCCGAATATTAAAAAACATATGGAAGTAAGTTTTTATTTTTAATGTTATATAAAATCATATCAGCTAAACATATTAGTGCACCTATCAGAATTACAAGATGTTTTGTTTAATAATTGACCTGTTAGGTGATGCTTGTTCTGGCTCCAAATCATATCTATTTTCACAGGTAATATGAGTATGTAGAATAGTGACTCTTAATTAAGATAACTGCGGTTCATAGACGCCTTCATGTTTTGTCACGTGATTCTGTTACTTTTATATGCAAAAGGAAAAAAAACAATTTTATTTAGGGCTTTTATTTTTATAAATAAGGAAGTTTTGTTTGTTCAGCATCTGCATTGGGAGAATTATACAAAGAATATTTGTTAATTATGATAAAGTTTAAGAACATACCTAGACCTTGTATCCACAAATGTTTTGTAGTTGGCGATTAACTTAAACCCAAACGATGCTGCACTACTCCACATGCTTGGCGAATGGTGTTATCAAGTCACTGAGTTTCCATGGCACCAACGGAAAACAGCCGAAGCCCTATATATGCCTTTACCTTACTCCACGTATGAAGATGCCCTAGACTATTTTTTAAAAGCAGAAGCAGCTCAGCCAAGATTTTATAGTGTCAACTTATTGAGACTTGGTTGTTGCTATCTCAAATTGAATAAGGAGGACCAAGCAAAGTATTACCTAAAATTGGCTGCCAGTTATCCTGCTAAGTCGAATGACGATCATCTTGCTAAAAAAGAGGCAGCCAAGATCTTAAGGAAATTGAAAGTTAAGTGCGATTTTACTATATCGCCATAACTTTGGTATCTCCATTATTATTTGTAGTAGGTAAACTTGTATTAAATTCATAAAATAAATGATGAATTATGTGGAACAAAATAACACACATAATTAGATAAACTGTTTTATTCAAGTTTTACAACGCGTACAATATGGGCGTCTTATAGCTATTAAAAGTACATCGAATCTAAATTTTTATTTAAGATTGACAATAATTCACTTAGTCGTTAACTAGCAAACACCCATACACATATAAAAAAAATGCATTTTGACAACAAATAACACTTCAATAGGAAATTATTAGCAACAATACAAGTTCAATATTACTAATACATATAAGAATAAAAAAAGGTCAAAATATTCAAGAGTGGACAGATTACGATGGACCATATGTGTAAGAATCCAATCAAAAGTAGATTTGAGTTAAAAAATGTTCCAATAATATGAAAATTTTACAAAATTATAAATAATTCAATAATATACACTAACCATAATTCGTCGCAACGGTTTTAGATTCAAAGCGATACACAGTAGTGCATAAACATATTTTAGACTATGTTTATATGTATATAATTAAGACAAAAAATATTTATTGGCACTCATATTAAACTTATACGCTTCTTATAAATCCGAATAGCGGAGGCTTAAAGAATTCTTGACTGAGCTATCAAGACGAATTAAATACTGAAAGTATTTGTGCATATATAGAATAATATTGACTTGGCTACAACAATATTTATACAATATTTTTATATTGTGCCGTTTTCCTGTACATTGATTATATCTAGGTTTAATATTAAGCGCAGCGATACATTAAAATAAGCGTTCAAATGTTACATTAAAAGCGTAACATTAAAACAACCATTGCCATAAATCATTCAAAAAGTTTGTAAATGCCAAAATGAGTTTGGTTTTGTCAATTTCTTAAATAAGTATCACAGGTTTAAAATTATTCAAGTTAAAATTTCTAGTAATAGTCTAGATAGAATATAAGTCTCAATTGTCATGAAAAAATATTTTTCTCTTGTAAATAGGATCCTTAAATAATAAGATTAAACCCAAGTAAAGGTTACAACAATCCAAGAAAAATAAACATTTCTTAAAGTCGACTACGTACTACGAAATTTGTATGAAAAACCTGAGAAGCGCTGTATGGGCCTATTTGGACCTAAACGAACACCTCTGAATAGAATTTAAGTCATACAACTTTTATGCAAAATCGAGCGCTCAAAAGCTGTATTGTATAGTATTAGTATTCACGGTGACAAACTTGACGAAACAATCGTAAAATTTGTGGTAAGCCACCAGATCTGTTTCTTTTTATCGTAATCAGTATATGACAAATAAGTACTTAGTAACAACAGCGTATAAAATGGTTTATATTATATAAATAGGACGTATTTCTCATGTACAAACAAGAAACAAGCAAACAAATTGTTACATTTATGTTGATCACTTCAATATTTAGACAAGTACTAGACATACGATCTCTAATGTAGTGCCATGAACATTTAAAAGAGCATTAATATATAGGGTGGAATTTTCTACCACGGTATACATTTATAGCACACATCAAGTGTTTCTTATGAAAATCGCAATGCATTTACTCTAGGGTACTTTCCAAAGTTTTGTTTAAAAAATCCAACTAAATACTTCGGTGAGAGTAGATTAACCCCCTTATTTATGGAAACCAAATCAGTATAATTACACTCTTTTAACTTACGTACTGGTTTGGCCCTTTCTCGTGTTGTGTAGTTAAATCGGTGTTATTAATTATAGCAACGGAATAAAATTTTATGTTTTCACCATTGATATACAAAAAACCTTTTTTGTATATCAATGGTTTTCACCTTGCTGGTTATGTTAACGTAAAATTGTAAACACCGTTAGATTGTAATCTATCTCGCGAGATTAAAACTGTCGAAAGATTGTGAACCTCGGCGTACTGCTTGCAATTTAACGTATTATTATTCGGTAGATTGTAATCTATCGAAGTGAAACCGTCAAATTGTGAAACGGATCGCAACTCGCGCGCTGATTGGTTGAACGGAATATGTTCACAATCTTTCGACAGTTTACAATCTCGCGAGATAGATTACAATCTAACGGTGTTTACAATTTTACGGTGACAGTTATAAACATTGGGAGTAACCACAAATTACGTCTTTTAGGTATCAACGCTTCTCAAGTCAATACGGTAAAACTTTAACAGATTTTAAAACTGAAATAAAATTCACTGAGATTCTTTAAGTGCTCTAACATAGGGTAGAGCGGGGCTAGTTGAGCATAGGGGCAAGTTGGGCAATCGAAATATCTCGGAAACTATTCACCTTACGCGGGAGTATCAAATAGCGAAAAGAAGGAGTGGTAGGAGAGGTAATCATCGCACGAAAGCTAGTGGCAGCTCGACGAGTGAGTGAAGTGTCACGGCGTTTTGTTTATTTTGTGACCAAAAAGTAAAAACATTGTTTATCGCAAGTTTTCGTCTGTCTTTGTCAAATGTTCTCTGTTTTCAATCAGGAGAGTGTTAATCTTTCAGAAGATTATTGTATTTTTGATTTGTAAATAGGTTTTGGGTCTAATTCTAGGCATTTATTTACAATCCTACTTTTCTTTTAAAATTCCGGGTTGGGGTAAGTTGAGCAACTATAGCTCAACTAACTCGACGACTTAAACAACTGATGAGTAATGAATATTTTATTTTTTGTTTGGATGCGGACTTACAAGAGGAAGACTACAAGATGTTCTTACACTACTGAATACTTAAATAATGCTGCAAAGGCTGTCCACGATGAGGGAAAAAGTGTGAATACCGCCGCTAAAGAATTCGGTATTGGTTGACTTTTAAATAAATTAAATGAAGGTGATGATTTATGGGCTATACAACACCGAGGGAAGTATATCCTCTCTCACAAGAGAACTGTTGAAAAAATTCTTGCTGCAAATGGCATTTTTCTCCAAAAGACGTCCGTCGCAGCACATTCTTAGGCAATGTGCTGAAATTCCACCAAGCTGAATTGCAAAAAAGATTTCCGGAAAAGAATGGTTGATGATGTTTTAAAAACAAAAAAATCGTAGCTATCCATACAGAAACCAGAACCCACCAGCCTTGGTAATCTTTTTTTAGAAATTATCGGAAGTAATGGATAGATATGGATGCTCATGTTTTGTTGATTCTAGTTTCGGTTAATTATACAAAGAAAATTTCTTTAAATTTTGTTGTTCTGTCAATAAAAGACTATAAATAAAAAGCTGACTGTCTAACACATATTTTATTTCATCTCAAGTTAACATAGAACCATTGTTTGGCCTAGACATTCTTAGTGCTCAACTTGCCCCATACCCTTGCTCAACTTACCCCACCTATGGGGTACATTGAGCATACTTGACTTTCTGCATTTAAACATCTGTAGCTATTATATTGGACTTGTTACAAAAAAAATACTATGGACACTTTTGTTAAGGGATAAATTACTAATCCATCAGGACACATAACAACTCATTGAGACTTATCATTGAGGAGCTATATCCAAGCAAGTGAAAAATTGCTCAACTAGCCCCGCCCTACCCTACTTATGTAAATAATACCAAGTAATACAAAATCATTATTAAAATAGAGATTCATAGTAAAATTGTAAATCACAAAATTCTTAAATACTATAAGGAAAATGATTATACATATTTACTTTCCATTAGAGAACAATTATAAAAAATCGAAGCAAAGATAAACAAAATGGCTAGTAACACATGTTAATAGAAGCAAGCCTTTGTGGTATATATGGCTAACATTTAAGTATTAATATAAACATACAATCAAACAAGGATCTTTTGCAAAAACAAACTTCTATAGCTGTAGTCGCATTAAAACCATGGATTCAACTTACATCATACCTGGCCCATCTTGTTCTAGATTACCGGACTTTTCGAAGAACATGAAGTCCTGGAATTCAAACGTAAATTCATATTAGTAAATCATTTAAAGAGCAGAGATGGCCTAGTGGTGCGTGGACTTCATCAACCCTGAGGTCGTAGGTTTGAACCTCAGATGAGCACACATTGTCGTTCTGTCTATGTGCGCATTTCGCTCGTAGGGTGAAGGAATCGTGAAAAAACCATGCCGGTTGGCCTTAGGCCAAAAAGTTGACGACGTATCAGACAGAGGTGTGCTCACCTACTTCCTATTAGATAAAACGATCACGATACAGATACAGAAATTTGAGGCCAGACTTTAAAATCAAAAAACACAAATCCATAAAATTATTTTTACAGAAGGCCTTCGAAACATGAAGAACACGTAACAGAAATAATCAAGAATTACCACAAAATACTTACAATCAAAAAACATGCTCCCAGCAGAACTGCCTTTATCCTGACATCCAAATCCATTGGGAACGTGATGCCGAAATAATCTGAATCGGTGAAGGCTTCACGGGCCAAACCCGACCACTGTTTGGTTATTTTCCCCACTTTGGTCTCACCATCTTTCGAGTAAACCTGAAATAATCAATACAATTACAAAAAACAATTAATATATTCTTTACAGAAAAGTGATTGTTAATTAATAAGCGAGGAGATATAATTTTCTTCAATGACGTTAAAAATTTATACAATAAGTCGAAGATATTAAATAGATATAGGGTTTTTTTTAAAATTATGTATTTAGTTTAAACTTCGCAAAACCCCAGCAAAGTTTAAATAAAAATAAACTAATTATAAACATTTAAGCTAGCAATCCTTATAATCTCACAACAGATTTTTAAAATAAAGTTCCAATAAAGATGACAAAAAATGGCAATAACTATAACCAGACATGTCTGGTAAAATTGAACAGAAACGCAGAAATACAAAATATAATTGGTACGATTAATTTCATTTAGCGTAGGTATATATAATATAAGCATTGAACACTGTTATTAATTAATAATTATTATTGTTTAAACTTAGATAACTGTTGAACTGAAACTAAATTACTTGATAATTAAATGTTTGTCTAAGAACTTATTGCAGTACGTCAATACGTGTTTGATAAACATATTGATTGTTTTGCTACAAGTTTCACGATGCCTTGTACCAAATAGATATTGATTCTATACTAAAAAATAATTTTAACTATTCATTTGAAGTTTCCCATTTTACAATGAGATTCCCTAAACGCTTAACTAACAACCGACTTCTTGTTTACAATGCCACTTAAACACTCTAAAAAGCATTATTAGTTTGAGAACAAAAACTCTACTTACATTAAATTGTACATCTCCACAGATAGATAGCGTACAAACTGGCCCTTTGATTTTAAGGACAACTTCTCCTGTTGCGTTCTTTATGACGTAGCAGGGCTTAAAGATTGACCACTCTTGTTCTATGGAGCCAAGGACGGTACCATGAGGGGCAGTTACTTCCATGCTTTGTAACCAACATGGGCACCAACAAGAATCGCACGCCAAAGGGCGCTTTAGGTGAATAACCTTAAAATAGTAGTTTTTTTTGAATAACCTACCCACCCTATATACCCTATAGTCTCTTGAAGTTTGTGGAACTTTACGCATTATATTTAATTCTGTTTGGTTTAGCAATGAAATATATTTATACATTACAAAATACAATGTACTGAAACTAGAGTAGGTATGATATATTGCATTACCTCATTCTGAAAGTTGTCCATGATTTTCATATCAAATGGACGCATTCGCCCACAGCAATTTCTTGTGCAACAATCATTATCTTCAACAGCATAATATACTTTTTGACCCAACGCATTCTTAACTGTGTACTTATTGTTTGTTTCAAAACCAATAAACACCTCCAGAAGTTCCACTTTTTGATGTATAAGTAATTGGTCAATCAAAGACAGGTATTCCAAACCAGGAGGGCAGTTGCTGAGTCCTTGCGGTATAGTCATCCATCCACCTGTCTCAATCAAAAAAAAAAATGTTTTAGTATTATATAAAAACAATATTATACCACTAGGCATAGGTGTAATTACTGAGAAAATTTTTCATGTACAGTATGTATACGTACGTAATTTTATTATGCAACAAAGGTTATGTTAAGACAAAGTAAACGGAATGTAAGTACTTAGAACAAACACATGTAATTTACGACACAAATTACAAAATCATTTGATACAACTATTTTAAGTTAAATAAACACTACCTCACACCACTATATGCCCTCCACCACACTATGATTATCTGCAATAGCATGAATCAACCTTTTTTCATCGTCAGACATAAACTCTTCATATTTATTGCATTTAGAAGTAAAAATTATCTTGTATAAGCGCTGGAAAGACCTTTTCACATATGAAGTATTAAAAGTTTCTAAATTCACATGTTTATCTTTCAAATGTAGGTTGTTTATTGTATTTATTGTAAACAATTTTTGAATAAAGTTTGAGCGTATGGCAGATTTTTTTACTTCCATATAAGGCTCTTCATAAAAGTTATCAAAATAACTTCCAGCTTGATTTTTTGACATTGAAAATCAATAATTTTAATTAACTTAGCCCGAACTTATTTTCACTGACAGCAGTACTGCTATCTACAGTTTAATGGACTGTAATGATAGATACCTCTGAGAGGGCTTATAAGGGTAAACAAACATCTTTATTATCTATAAAGAGTTACTACCTCAACTCTAGAATAAATCAATACTTAATCAATTTTGTAATTGATTTCAAATAGTTTTTCTTGTTTATAGATGAAATAAATTCAATAAGCACATATACACAAAGAACTTTTAAATTTACTCATTTTATAATAAAAATTACTTAATGAGTTTTTTTCATTTATTGTTTTTTTTTTTTAAATATAATAGGGGCAAACGAGCCTGCGGGACGCCAAAAAGGGCAGGCATCGCAGCCCATAGACACGGCATTTGGGGGAGGAGTACACTCGAATTTTGAATAGTTGGAGGTTGTATCTCTCAGGGAAGACCCCCACCAGGAGTTGATTCTACAGTTTGCTAGTTTGCAAAAGAAAATGCCTTATGAAACGGACTGTGGAAGACTTCGAGCCATCAAGGTGATGTTTATGAAATTTTGAATTCATACGGCTCGTATGGTGTTGAAACGAGGCAGGAGGAATCAACCCAAACAGTTCTTCAGAACACTCACCGTAGCACACTTTATAGAAAACGAAAAGAGACGTAATGTCTCTGCGTAGACATTGGAGATTGACAATTCAAGAAGCCCTTCTCTGAATTTGGTCAAAAGGAAGAATTTGGTACTTGGGAGCCCCATCCCAGAGATGTGAGCAGTATTCCATATGCGAAGATGGAAGAATGATTGAAGAACTTAATGTAAACATGTTACATACTTAAGTTTAACGAATGCTGCTCTTTAATAGTCAGGCAAAGGCTCAGTAAAAGGCTCATATGCAAAGATTTTCTTACTTGCTATTACAATATATCAAGGCAAATTCAATATAAACATTCAAAGAAGAACATAAATAATGTTTAAGTTTATAATCTGAAACTGAACATTCCTGTTCATATTATGTAAACAAATATAAAACTTCACAATGTTTTATCATAGTTAGTAAAACACATTTGATAATAATAGTAACTGTTGCTTAAAAACTGGACTTATTGGTTGTGTAATTCCCAAAATTTTCAAAATTTTCAACTTTTTAATAATAGCTAACTTGGTCTTAAATTATTCCTATCTCTGCGTATATGTATGTATAACATTGACTTATCAAGATTACACACCAGTTTAAAATGATATCTCACCCGGAGCTTGGCCTGGTCCAGGCTGTTGAACAATTGGTGCAGGTGGATATCCCGGTTGTGGTTGAGGATAAGCAGGCAGTGCGTGTGGATATGCAGGATGTGCTTGAGCATATCCTTGCTGAAAGCCAGGCACAAATCCGGGTTGAAAGCCAGGCTGGAAACCTGGTTGGATTCCATGCTGCATTCCTGGTAATGGTTGAGCTCCTGGGGGTAGCGAAGGTGGTGGTCCCGGATACCCAACTTGTGGATTCATAGGGTAACTTTCATTTGCTTTTTCTCCTTCTGCTGGTGGAGCATAACCCTGACTAGATGGAAAGTTAGGACTATATGGCGTTTGTTTGTGAGACATGTTGTTTCTGTAAGGAAGATAAATACCTAGTTTACTTCCTTAAAAAAGGTCAAAACTAAACTAAGGAATAGGGCAGCCTGGTTCATTTAATACAACCATTTTGTAAAAACTGACAGAAATATTTAGATTATTCTAGTTTTATAAGATGCCTATCGTAATTTGTTTGAGTAAATTTATAAATACCAGAAAAGCTAAGGACAAAAATTATTGTTTTATCTTTACGAACAACATACCTTAATAATGTAATTCAGTAGAATGGTTTAGTGATTGTTACACTGTTCAATTTCTTTAATTAACGGCACCGTAGTAATAAGTATTTCATATAATTTAAGTCATAAATTCAGTATTGAATACATAATGCGGAAAACTCAATTAAATTATTATTTAGATTTTTTGGTTTTGACTCCAGGAAAATCAATAAATCAAGTAATTAGTGTTGCCAAATGGTCTCGGCGACGGGCGACGTAGGATGAAAATTGAAATCCTCTGATCTAGCAACACTGATAATAACAAATGTACTAATTATGGCCTAAAGGTCTAGATACCAGGCCATAAACTCCAAAAAAAATGTACTAATTCAGCAGACAGCTATCATTTTTGGCCGGGCACATTTTCAATTTCACTACGAGTCTGAACATCTGAGTCTATACATACATTTTATTGTTAGTTAATGTATCCATTTTATCAAGTGCGGTGCTCTACATTAAAAGTAGTTAAACGGCGAGTGGTAATTACGTTCCTTTTCATCGCAAACAGTAAAAACGCACAAGTTTTTTTTAAAGGTTTACTAAACCTGGAAATAGGAGGCAGTGATGCCAGCTAAAGAATAAAATAAATTGTTATTTTTGTATTAGGTCACTTGAGTAAGTAAATATTTAGATTTACCGTTTTGTAGGTAAAACATAAATAATACGTAGCATTTTTTATATTTTATATAAGTCCTTTTTCGGTGGAGGACGTTTTTAGTAGCAACACTTATAAAACGTTACGAAATTAAAAATCAGAGTAGGTTCTATAGTAAATAGAAAGATAGTATATAGGTTCACCGTCCACCGACTACCGACCATAGAGTGTAAACTGTTCACCACACTCTAGTAATATGTTTATACATTATACTATAACGTACAATTATCGAATACTTAGGAAATATAATAGTTTGCTTGACTTAATGTGCTAAATAATATACGAGTCAAATATTAAATTCAGGTTATCGTGTTTATTATTTATTACACAATGTTGTCAATCAAAAGATCTAGAGAAGTTTTTGAACGTTTACAATTACAACAACTTAAGAAAAAAAAACTTGCCATAAAAAAGACTTTAGTAAAACCAAAGCGAAATTCCCGTTGAATGGTATTAAAATTAATATATGTTATTGTAATTAGTGTTGAATTACTTTATAAAATATTTACATCATTAAAATCAAAATCTCTCAAATGAGACAGTTAAAAAAAATTGCAGATTCATTGTTCCCACTCTAGTAACCCCTCCATATTTTTTATCACAAATTAAATAAACATAGGACAAAATGATAATTTTAATTCGTTAATCTATGTTCTAGCCCTAAATAATATCATATCATTTGTACGTAATTATAATTTCATGATATTGCAACATTTGAATCCAATTGTACCAACTGTCATTCACCAATCAAACCATTGCAATTGAGTGCATTGACCAACCTGCTACTGCTGCCAATTCCAGCACTTTGCAAGTCAGTTGAATTGATGTTGCTTCCGCGTTTATAGCTTCGGGTGTGTAGTGAAAACGAAAGAGCTAGTACCGCGATGCAAACACAGTTGTTTTGCCACTTATCAATCTAAAATGGCGTCGCTATTTATCATTTAGTTATCATTCTCTACGTTAACGTTCCTCAGTGATCACATTCGAGTGAGTCATAAACCAACATAGCAATGACATTTTTATAGCACACAGTGGAAATACGTTTCTCAAACGTTTTAGAAGACTAGACAGTGATTTTACACAACAATAATGCGCGAATTCAAAGTGGTAGTGTTGGGTTCGGGTGGGGTCGGAAAGAGTGCTTTAACAGTGCAGTTTGTTTCCGGATGTTTTATGGAAAAGTATGACCCCACCATAGAAGATTTCTATAGAAAAGAAATTGAAGTGGATAATTCTCCGTGTGTTCTAGAGATATTGGATACTGCCGGCACGGAACAATTTGCCTCCATGAGAGATTTGTATATAAAGAATGGCCAAGGATTTGTTGTAGTTTATTCGTTAACCAATCACCAGACGTTCCAAGATATAAAACCAATGAAGGAATTGATAACGCGTGTTAAGGGTTCAGAACGCGTTCCCATATTGTTAGTTGGCAACAAAGCGGATTTGGAACATCAACGCGAAGTGTCCCAAGCCGAAGGCTCGGCCCTTGCCCAGCTGTGGGGCTGTCCGTTTGTGGAGGCCTCTGCGAAAAGTCGCACCAATGTCAACGAAATGTTTGCGGAAATAGTGCGTGAAATGAACGTTAGTCCTGAAAAGGAAAAGAAACCTTATTGTTGTTGTACAGTGCTTTAAAACTTAGAGTGTAATGTGGCATTTATTTCTCGTAAGACTGCAACGGCGAGGTGGAGGCTTGTCCTCTTTGGCTCGACGACTGGCCGCCTCCAGGGCGGCCTGGGCGGCGGCGCGCCAGCCCTGGTAGCTCTACACTTAGCGATCCGGATGCGCGTCATATCAAGTTGTTAATATCTTTGATACATACCATTGTCCAATCGAGGTGCTTTATCTTATATTTTCATACTTTAGTACTGGTAGATTCTCCCGCAATAATCATTTTCATATGAAAACAACAAGTACATCAACTAAATAGGGATTTTTTACATGTATTATTAAAAGATTCCAAAATCATAAAAACTTATTTACTTTTTAAAACATCAGACAGTGTAATTAATTGTCATTTTAAGCAACAATAATAATGTTATTGTATATTAATATTAGTCACTTTGTACATAATTTATAATTTCATGAGATTAAAATGAGAAAGGAAAATACGGTTTTAGGAAGGGAATAAAAGGCCATCCAAATATGCAATAATCTTATATATGATTGTGTAGAGTGAAGTGCGATGAATAAGTGTTTACACCTAAGTCATATTGAAATTGTGTTTTACTGTGTAAATTATGTTTATATATGAGAAATCAGTAATCAAGGAAATATGGAGATTTGTCAGATGTGTGATTGTGTTTTAAAAGTCTACCAGGATTTGTGATAATACATATAACAAAATATCTATAATAAAAGTTTTAAGTGGGAGATTAATATGTGAAGTTTTATTCATGGACTGACCAGGTAACCATTTAAACTTTATATGCAACAGTATTTTAACTAGTAATTATATTGTATAAAAAGTATACTTGTAGTGATTTCACCAACAGAGTTCAAAATTGGTTTAAATGAACATACAACCAAAAAAATCCTTGAATATAGGTATTATTATTTCATGCTTGGTTCAATGCTCATTTCAATAATAAATTATCAAAGTTTTTTGCTTGGCTAAGATGATCCAATTAAAATATTGAAATATAATTGTAGTTTTTAGGATGCTTAAAAAGTATTGAAGTCAACAAACAGCCTTCTTTATTAGATTACAAGTAGAAAAACTTAAAACATGCTTCTTCATTACAAAAAACCTCTTGCTTATGTTTTCTCATTTCATATACATATATATTATAAGTCCAGCCACATCTTACAAACTATATTTATAGTATAATATAATAAAATAACTAAACTAGTTAAAACTTCAGCACAAATTAAAATTATGCTCCCTCAAATTAATAGCAATATTATAGCTACTTAGAGTTAATTAAATATGCACTTTTTAAATTATACATAGGTGCCAGATTAAGGTTTGTAATGGATATTAAAATTAGATAATTAATAATGAGGATTGTTTTTGCCAATTATTATTAAAATACCTCCCGGGTATGGCTCCAAAATACATAAAAATTAATTTGGCTATTTTAAGCATGATACTGTTATTAGTTAACAAAGGAATTATGATAATAGCATGCTTAAAGTATGTTCATTACTTACTATTAATTACCATTAAGTAATAATTTACCTAAAAAATCAAATGTATTAGTTCAAGGGCCTGTTAGTGGTGCAATAAGAATGGACGCGTGTTTGTAATCGAAAGAAACTGTTGGACCATGACAATCGTGTGCGCAACCATCTTCATTTAAACACCACTTATTCTACATCGTTGCAATAATTTTCTCGATCAATATACAGTTTCGATTTTCCCTTCTATAAATGGTTAATGTTGGTAACAACTTAAGAGAAACCAGTTTGATGAGAGTTCAGACGTTAATTCAGTATATCCTTCTAAAGAAAGCTTATAGCTTTGTTTCGTAGCTTTCGAGATAAACTTATTGAGGTACCAAATCAATAAGTTACTTACATGATATCTGTCTTGTAAAGGCTCGTTAAAGTGGGACATGTCGAGTTTAAGGTCATGGTTTGGTTGCTCAGTCGGCCCGAGTCACTACAGGCACAATTTAGGTGCCGTTACCGGCCCAGATAGTTGTTTTACCCGGATTCGATCAAATTTAGAAGAATTAATTGTGTACAAGGAAGTAACATATAATATACTATATATGTCAATAATAGAATCTGTTGTTATTTGTTACGATAATAGTCGAAAACAAAACATGTAGGTAACGCATTGAAAAACGACGTTGGGTTTGTTGATATTTCTGAACATGACTGATCTGTAGTTTTCATCCTTTATAAGTGAGTAGTTTTATTTATAATTTAATAACCATTCGGGGCAACGTAAAAACTAGTAGGCTGTAAGCTATTTATTAAGGAACTAGTTACAATAGGATTACCTTGTAGGAAACTATCAGTCATTGCTTCGTCTTGAGCAATGTATCCAGTTCTAGGTAGGTTTGTAAAAAAGTTAGCCTTGCATATATGCAGTCTGTAATTTATTATATCCTTTTATTTTAGTGGAAACCTTTGGCTAGCTTATGATGCTATCTGTGTTTACTTACTTAAAAGTAGTGAAATTAAGTCGAATTTCCTTTATTTTGCATAGATTATAAATGTGAGATGTGGTCAATTGTAAAAACTATTTGATGTACCGGTAGTAGATCCAAATAAATAATAGTTATTGTTTGCGGATTAAGTGTTTTAAAATATAGTAACATTATATTGTTTTTATATATCTGCGATTACACAAAATATCAATTATGATGAAAATACCATTCAAGTTATATATTAAATTGTATTTTCCTACCCAATCTAAGGGGTTTCACAAGCAGGATACATACAGGATTTTACATTTGAACGTAAACTATTTGTATAATATCGTGCCCTTGTTCAGTAATCTTGATATTCGTGTGTTGGTATATAAAACAAGGTCTCGCTGGGAATAGAAGCTTCGATGGGCGTCTCCCGCGTATCTCGTACGTTAATACGGCGTGTGGGGCAGCTATAAATACATAAATAGCATTAGGGCAGATCGTACATTTCGGAACGAAGTAAATTAAACACCTCATCAATAATTAGGCAATGTAGAAAGGAAAAAAAACTCTTTAAAATCAAACAGTGTTAGAAATTAGCTAATAGATTAGATTTTAAAAAGTAGCTTTTTGTCTCTCTAATTCTCTTCTCTCATATGGTTTAGGTTTTTTTATTTATCACTACGCTTTATTTGGTACTAAACTTGCACAAATGTATTATTTTAACTTTGAGTTCACATTCGCTCTAAACCTATAGTGAACCTTTTGCTGAATTGCAACTCAATGGCCCTTAGTTCTTATAAATCGAATGTTCTCATATATACAATCAATGCGGGCATAGCAGGAATTACTGTTGTAACGCATGAATAACTCTCAACTATCATTTATTATGATTGCCTTTGTGTTTAGATTACAATAGCGGTGGCTCTTGTAATAACTATTAACTTTAGTTAATTTAAAGCACCCACTTAGACTACCAAGTTAAGTACGCACTACAGTAAATGTACGCATTAATTTTTCACTCAACAATGCAATTAAATAAAAATCCTTTAATTTTTAATTTATATACATTGTTCTTTGATACATCCTAAATAATGGTGTTAATCAGTATAATATATTGAAGCGATGGTTATAATTTTGGATTTGAAATTCGCCTTTGTTACAAGGATAATGAAAACTTACAAGGATAGTAAAATATGTAACAAATTTAACCCGACTTGTGAATTTTTGAAAATTTAATTAGTGTTAGGTTTATCTGAAGTAAAGTGTTGGCGTATGTAGCTGTTCGACTTGTTGCTTGTATGTGGGCAGCTGGTTGCATTGCAGCAGTCAGCAGCAGTCCTTGGCGTGTTGCGTAAACACCCACCTTGACTTGCATTGCTTGCACCGAACATGGTAAGCTGGTTTAAATACATGTCATGATTTCACCGTATCTATTGGCTGCGATGACACGTTCTGCTTATTTACCTTTAAAACTAAGTACTTTTAGAATAATAAGTAATTAGTAAAGACATCGTTATTCGTTTGTGATTTCTTAATGATTTATTCAGAAGGGCCTTCATCATTAGTAACTTATAAATTAGGCTTTGTGAACGAATTCTCCAAAAATCTGTTCCTCACACAAGTCTTGACGCTAGTTCTCAGTATTGTAAAGTAAATTAATGCTTTATCTCCTTAATTATCTATGTATCAGAGCTGTAAGGGGCCTTAAATATATGATACTAAAGCATATGTTTGTATGATTTGAGGCTTGTTAACGGGTGGGATGAGCAAGTGAACACGTGCTCATTTTCTGAGGGTCGACAATAACAAAATGAGTTGCATTGTTTGCTCCAGCCTGGCTGTGAAGATGTGACCACGTGTTCTAGTCTACAACATGACTACTATAATAGTCCATTGAAATGTTACATTTTTTAGGCCTAACCTTGCGTTTTTTAGAGGACGCAATTTTATTTTTTTGATGTGTAGGAGGGGTCAGTGTAAAGCTAAAACCAAGTTTGTGGGGTCGCCACCCTTGTCCCACGGCCGCCATCTTGAAAATAGTGGTTGAAACGGTTTTTATGATATATCTCTTAAACTATTTATTTGATAAAAAAAATTTGTTTACATTTTTTGTTGCAAATTAAATTCTCTACAACTTTGGTCCAGTAACTTTTTATCGTAAAACTATAAATAAAAAAGTTATAAGCGAAAATCTTCAGAAATTCGAGAAAAAAATTTATATTTTTCGATATAACTTTTTTTTTTATCATTTTACGAAAAAATAATATCAGACCTTTTTTGTAGATCGTTTTTTGGGGAACAACTTTTATTTGCATCATTTTATCATTTTTCAAGTTAATAGCTAAGGTTTTACAGCGCTCCGATAGTCCATTGAAATGTTACAATTTGAGGGCCAAACTTAACATTTGTTAGAGGACGCAATGTTATTTATGGGAACTGTAGGGGCGGTCAATACAAGCTTAACCTCAAGTTTGTGGGGTTGGCGTGCTTGTCCCCCGGCCGCCATCCTGGAAAAAGGGGTCCAAAAACCAAGTTTTTGGCTATATC